GAGCACGGCGCACCATCACCCTGACTCAGTCACACATGGTGCACCAGGTCCTTCAGTGCTTCGGCTTCCGGTTCTCCTCGCCACAGTCCACTCCTCTGCCTACCGGTCACTCATTCACAGCTCCACCTTCGAACGAGTCCGTAGAGCCGAGTGGCCCGTATTCAGAGCTTGTGGGCTGCCTCATGTACCTGATGATCTGCACTCGACCTGACATTGCCTACCCTCTTAGCATCCTAGCTCGCTACGTTGCGCCCGGGAGACACCGTCCAGAGCACTGGGAGGCCGCTAAGAGGGTGTTGCGCTACTTGTGCAGTACATCGGGAATGAGGCTCGTGCTTGGAGGACAGGGTCCAATTGTCCTCACTGGAAACGCAGACGCGTCTTGGGTTGACGACTTGGCTACGCAGCGGTCGTAACAGGGTTACACCTTCATCCTTGGCTCCGGCTCTGTTTCTCGGCGGTCTACCTGCTCGTCTTTTGTTCTCAGTTCCAGTTGTGAGGCTGAGATCTACGCAGGGGCCATGGCTGCACAAGAGTTACGCTGGCTCACCTACCTGCTGACTGACTTAGGAGAGCAGCCTCGTTCTCCTCCAGTTCTGTACGTAGACAACAAGGCCATGATTGCCTTGTGTGAGGAGCACAGACTGGAGCACAGGACGAAGCACATCGCTCTGCGTTACTTCCTTGCTCGAGAGCTGCAGCAGCGTGTTCAGCTTCGTCTTGCTTACGTGGCCACTCAGGCCAACACTGCTGATATATTGACCAAGGCACTTCAGTTAGGCGATCATCAGCGTTTCTGTACTGCTTTAGGACTTCTGCCTGCTTTGTCTCACTTGCTCACTGCGTGAATTAGATGGTAATGTGATCTATACATATATACCTGCATGCTTACACTTGCTAGGTTGTGATCACTGTACTGTTTGTACTCATTTATATGACTCTGCAGGTGAACTGGCCTTGTGGCCATTTGCTTGTGCTCAGAGTGTGTGGTGACTTCGTGATCCACCCTGAGCTTGCTTTGCTTTTGTTGACTGGTCTTGTGACCCCTTGTTCTCCCCCACTTTGCCTATGGGGGTGTGTCAAACTATTATTATGTTTAGATTGTGTAGGCTGTAGTGGGGTAGTCCGTAAGGGGTACAACCCAATTAGGGTTAGTACTTGTACCTACTTTCTTCTCAATGCATTCATTCTCGTTCAATTTCTTAACTGCTGTTGCAATCTATCCATTTGGAGGGGGGAAAGGGGCGGGAACTATGGGTCGAGGGTAACCATACGGGGGTGAGGAAGAAGTGGTGGAGAAAAATTAACATAAAGGAGGGGGGACGCTGATGAACGCTGGTGCAGAAACGCTGATGATCTCCAGACCCGTGGGCCTTGGTGAAGACATCAGCAATGTTGGCCTAGGAGGCCACGTACAACAGGTGAAGCTGACCACGCTGCTGCAACTCTTGTGCGAGGAAGTAATGAAGAGCAATGTGCTTCGTTCTGTGCTCCAGTATCTGGTCCTGACACAAGGCAATCATGGCCTTGTTGTCGATGTACAGAACTGGAGGAGAATGAGGCTGCTCACCCAAGTCGATCAGTAGGTAGGTCAGCCAGCGGAGCTCCTGTGCAGCCATAGCCCCAGCGCAAATCTCGGCCTCACAGCTGGAACTAAGTACAGAAGACGAGCGAGTGGACCTCCACAAGACAGAACCAGTGCCGAGGTAGAAACTGTAACCCAGTGTCGACCGGTGAAGCGTCTGGTCGTCAGCCCAAGAAGCGTCTGAGTGACCAGTGAGAACAACTGGACCTCGTCCCTCAAGCACAAGCCCCATGCCCAATGTACTGCACAAGTAACACAGTACCCTCTGTGCAGCTGTCCAGTGCTCCTTCCGGTGTGTACCAGGTGCAACGTAGCGAGCAAGGAGGCTGAGAGGGTACGCGAGGTCGGGTCGTGTCCACGTCTTCAAGTACATGAGGCAACCCTCAAGCTTTGGATACGGACCACTCGGCTCTACGAACTTGTCCACAGGTGGAGCTGAGAGTGAGTGGCCTGTAGGCAGAGGAGTGGGTTCTGGCGAGGAGAAGTGGAAGTCGAAGCGCTGAAGGACTTGGCGCACCATGTGTGAATGAGTCAGGGTGATGGTGCGCTGTGCTCTGTCCCGAGTAATCTGCAAGCCAAGATCTCACCCAGGTCAGTGCAGGTGTGTCTCTCCTGCAGCTCCGCCTTCACTAGGGCCAGTGCCTCAATGTCAACAGTAGCAAAAACCAAATCATCGATGTACACAAGAACGTAGAACGGCGGCAGAGAAGTGTCTGTACGCAGAAATAGTGAAGGGTCAGCAATTGAGGGAGCGAAAGCAAGAGCCACAAGTGTAGTCCTCAGTGTGTCGTGCCACTCATGGGGCGCCTGACGCAGTCCGTAGACTGGGTAACCTCAGGAAACGACCCAGTGAAGCCACGTGGGCGGCGACATCAGATGGCCTCGTGAAGGCTGCCCTGCAAGAAAGATGTCGAGAAGTCAAGGGAGTGCAGCTCGTAGTCGCGCTGTGCGGCAACGTGCAGTAACACCCAAAGAGTGGTCATCTTCGGGGTGGGGGAGAAGGTCTGGAGGAAGTCGACCCTATTAGAATGGACTAAGCTACTAGCGGAAGCTTTAGTAGTCTTAGAACCTCCTCCTAAAGCCTAGGAATCTTAGGAGCCCACTTGGGCATGAACCATGCTAGAACCAAAGTGGTTTCCAAAAAGTGAAGTTCCAACAAGAGAGAACCCTAACCTATAGGGTTTGGGAGGTGGTCCACTCTATAGAGTGTACACCACAAGTTCTCCCAATCCAACCGATGTATTCTACACTACTATAGTGTAGATGTATCACTATATAAGTTTATTGGAGCAACCCGAATTAACCTTAATTCCAACACCCCCCCTTGCTCCAATAAGCATTAAAGTTCACCCATAAATCAAAACACAACCCCTCCAGCGAATGAAGCCTTGGCCTTCGCAGCCATCACTCGCATGCCGATGCGCTCCAAGTTCTCATGCAGCTGCAAGCTTGGAAGAGCTTTGGTGAGCATGTCGGCATCCTGGAGGTGGGAGCGTACTGAGTGCACCTCGACCTCCTGCTGGCGCACCGCATCCCGTACAAAGTGCCATGCCACCTTAATGTGCTTGGTGCGCTGATGGAGAACGGGATTGTGGGCAAGGGAGACAGCAGCCTCATTATCACAGAGCAATGGAATAGCCCCCCCATCCCCCACATGCATCTCTGCCAACAAACTCCTCAACCAAATGGCCTCCTTGGCCCCCTCCGATAGAGCTTTGTACTCAGCTTCAGAAACGCTTGCTGCAACACTGTCTTACTTTTTGCTATACCAGCTGATTGCTCCTCCTCCCAGCTTGAAGATGTAGGCAGAGCGACTCTTGCCATCAGTCTCACCACCCCAATCCGAGTCTGTGTACCCAACAACCTGCTCACCACCTTGGCGCTCATACCTGATGACACGATCAGCTGTGTCGACCAAGTACCTGAGTGCTCTCAGTGCAGCGCGCATGTGAATGCGTCTTGGTGCCACACAGGACTGTGCAAGGGTGTTGACAGTGAAAGACATGTCAGGACGGGTGGTCACAGCAGCATACGTCAAGCTGCCAATGAGACTCTGGTACACCTTGACATCAGCTGCAACACCTTCCTCAGTCGACCAAGTACCAATCCTGATCTTAGAGAGATCATTGGGTGACATTGGAGTATGCACGCTATGGGTCTCCTTCAGCAGATCACCAAACCTTCCCTAGAGACCACGGACATACTTCTCCTGACCAATCTCCAACCACCCATCCTTGACCGACCTGCGAACCTCCACACCAAGGTACGTGGATACCTCACCTAGATCCTTCATCTGGTACCTCTGAGCAAGCACCTCCTTGACCTGACCGATCAGCTCCAAGCGTGGAGACACAAGCAAGAGGTCATCCACATACACCAATACATACACTGGCTCTTCATCCATAAACCTGATGTACAGAGCCTCATCACATGCACTGCGGTCAAACCCTGCTGCAATCAGAGTGGTACCAATCTCCTCATTCCAAGCACGAGGCGCTTGCTTGAGCCCATAGAGAGCTTTGCGCAAGCGATACACCCTACCTGTACCATCATCAAATCCCTCAGGTTGCCTCACATACACCTCCTCTTGAAGGACTGCATTGAGGTAAGCATGATCAACATCCTCCTGTTGTACATGCCACCCTTTTACCGCGGCTTCTGCAAGAAGCACCCGACCTGAGGTGAGCTTGCCCACAGGGGCAAATACCTGATCATAATCCTTCTCGGGCTCCTGAGTGTACCCCTTAGCAACAAGGCGAACCTTGTGCTGTACCACCTTATCCTCCTTGTCAGTTTTCCTGCGGAAAACGTACCTGACCCCAATGGCCTTCTTACCTGGAGGTAAGTCGACCGGCTCTGGATCCCATACACCCATAGTGCGCATTGCATTTACCTCCTTCTCAGCGCCTGCCTTCCACGCAGGGCCCTCAGGGCCACGCAGGGCCTCAGCGAGTGTGCGTGGGACATCACCGGTGCTCACACCTGCCAGTGCAACACCTTCCACCTCCCTGGCCAAACACAGCATGCCCTCAACCACACCAGCATCCCCCCCTACCTCCTCACCACCGGTACCAGACTGGATACCAAGCACCTGCAAACCCATAACCGGTGGTGGGGAGGTAGTCGCTGGTGACGGAGGGGCACCCGTAGAGAGAGGGACAGAGTGCTGACTAGAGGAGGAGGAAGAGGAAGTAGCCTGTGTAGCGGATCTCCGCTGAATGACCGAGGGGCCACTGAGCTGCTGCAGAGGGGTGGGCTGCTGCTGCACCGACACACTCAGCGGTGCCGGTGGCAGTGATGAAGGTGGCATCTCAACGTCGTCAGCCGTTGCTGAGGGTGGCGAGAGTGGAAGAGGGAGGAGTTGGGAAATCGCAGCTGCATCCTGCATAAGCTCCCCAAATCCCTTTGCCTTGTCCTAATCCTTCCACATCACATTCTCAAGAAAATCAACATCCCGAGCAATGCGAATGCGCATGAGAGAAGGGTCCAGCATGCGCCAAGCCTTGCTCTCTATGTCCACCCCAACACAGACACACATGACAGCCCGTGCATCAAGCTTGCCACCCTTCTCATGCCCATGCAGCATGACACTCCCCATGCAACCCCAAATCTGAGCCATGCCCACATGCGGCTTCTGGCCGGACCACGCCTCCATTGGTGTGACGGAGGCAGGCAAAGCACTGTGGGTGACCCTGTTCTTAACCCACACGACCCACATGAATGCTTCACCCCACAAGCGAGCAGGGAGACCACTGTCGACCAACAATGTGCGAATCCCCTCTGCCATCGTCCTGTGCCACCTCTCCACGACCCCATTCTGCTGCGGTGTATCTGCGACACTCTATTGGGTTTTGATGCCGAACTCCGCTTTCCATGCTTTCACAGCGTCCCCCAAGAACTCGCCACCCCTGTCGGAGCGAACAGCCTTCAGCTTTCGCCCACACTCCAACTCCACGTCCTTATGCCACTGGCGAAGGACTTTTGCGACTGTGGCCGATTCCTTGTTGGGGAGTGGGAACGACCAAACTCGTCTGGTGAAGTCGTCAATGAGACTGAGGACATACACCGCTCCTCCCAGTGACGGTGTGCGCACTGGTACCCACAAATCCATGTGGACCTCATCCAAAGGCCCAAGTGCCCGAGACGCCTCGTGGGGAAACGGCTTCTGAGCGGACTTTTCCAATAAGCAAGGCTCACATGGGGAGCAATCAATGCTCCCCCCCCCCGATCTCCAAGCTTAGTACACTGTTCCCCCGAGCCATCTGTTGCAATGTTGTGGGGGCGGTGTGACCAAGGCGGCGATGAGCAAGGGTCAATGGGGAAAATGAGTAGGAGGACCCAGCTGCAAGAGCACTGCCTTGTGTGCCCCGAGCAAGAGGAAGAGACATCCGCACCAATCCATGGTCCCTGCCCCTCTCCTTTTCTCCAATCGCCAACACCCTCTCTCCCCGTTTAAGAACACATTTCTTGCCCTTGAATATGACAATGACATCTCGAGAGGTGAGGTGTGGGACTGACAGCAGACGCGTGTGCATTTCAGGCACAAGGTGGACCTTTTGAATCCTCAGCAGCTGACCTCCAGCACCAACCACTGGCACCTCACCCATGCCAACAGCTTTCACCACCCGTCCATCTCCCAATCTAACTCTCCGAATCTCTGGTGGCTCAAGTTTACTCTTGAAGTCTGATGCAAAGGGAGTAAAGTTGTGGTTGGCCCCACTGTCAATCCACCACCCCTCTCGCGGCTGCTCCCCTCCTAGTGCTGCAACTGCCTCTCCAACCGCTACCTCTGCCTTGTCATCCTGCTCCTCCTCATCCGCCACCTGTGCCTTGCCGTTGGACCCACGACCCCCCCTCTGTAAGAATGCCGGAATTCCTCCTTTAGGTCGGTGAGGACATCGCTGCCATGCATGTCCCTCATCCCAACAGCCATGACACAACCCCCTAGGAGCCATGCCCTTAGACCCCCAAGGGAAATCAAGCACTCCTGCTTTGCCTTTTCCCTGACCCCATCTGCCCGAGTTGGTGCCGCTGCTGCTACCGCTGCCTCCTTGTTTTCCTCCCTTGTCCCAGTTTCCCCTGCCGCTGCTGCCCACTTTCGTACCCGCTCCAAAAGTGGCTACACCATCCGATCTTGGTGCGACACCAATCTGCATCTCCTCGCTCCTCAAAGAGGTAAGCAGCTGATCCTTAGTGAGCGATGATGATTGGTTGTTCAGTACCACCTTCAGCATCTCAAAGTGAGGAGGTAGTCCTTTGAGTACCCTCATCATCCACTCCTCAACCTCCTCCTTTCCTCCTGCAGCCAAGTACTTGGACCTCAAGTCCTCGGCACGCGCCCAGTATGCAGCCACTCCCTCCCCCTCTTTCATCTTCAAGGAAGAGAGCTCCTCAGTGAGTGCCATCCGGTTACACAATTCACGCTGAAGGTAGAACTCCTTCACTCGTATGTATGCCGCTGCTGTGCCTGCAGGAACTCGGGTGACCGCTCTTGCTCCGCCATCAATAGGTGCGCTGCCCAACTCGGTCTTGCCGCCGAACTCCCATACCAAGCGAATTAGCTCATCTGGCACCAAGGCATTGCAGAATTGAGCGAATGCCTTCTGATTTTTCCTCTCCCACTTCAGCCGTGCGTCACCCGATGCAGGCCGCTCCTCCGAACCATCAAAGTACCCCCATAGATCGTGCGCCTCTGCCCATTGTTCGAATCGGAAGCTCCAAGTCCAATAGTCGCTCCCGTCGAACTTTGGCGCACTCTCCAGCTTCCTTTCGCCTGAGTCATGATCCATTTGCGGCAGACACACTGGAGATTGACGTTGAGGTGGTGGTGGAGGCAACGGCGGCGGCGGTGAAGACGATGTGGACAGATTTGCCCCCTCTTGGTTTTTGGAGCGTAACTCCGTGCTCGAATCTCCGAATGATGAGCCGTTTGACTCAGACAAATCCTCGCTCCGAGACCGTTCCAATGGTGTATCGCGCTTCTGGATCCCGCGTCCGAGCTGTCCGCTTAAACTCGTCGAAGTTGGCCGATTTTCTGTCGACGAAGACTCGACCGTTTCTCCCAATTTTTGGCTTGCTGGATGCGCCCTGGCCTCCTCTCTTGGCGTCCGCCCTCCAATCCCTTTTCCGCGGTTTAAATCGTCCCCGATTCGCGATTTACCAATTCGTCCGCCGACTGTATTTCGCAAATTGCGTCCGATCCGCTCGTCGATTTGCGACGACTCCGAGGCAACAGTTGTAGATCGTGTCGAGGACTTTCCAACGATATGTTGCACGCCTTGATCGGCCAACGTTGACTGAGCTTGTCCGTGAATGGATGTCGCTCCTCTCGTCCTCCCAAACGGATCCACACGATTTCCAGCGGGTTTCTTCTCTCCTCCTCCCCTCCCACGTCCAGAGTCCGCCACGGTGCAATTTTGACAGCCCTTCGGGAGGGATGGAAGCAATTTAGCTTCCACCAAGGTATTATGGTCCAATTCCTTGAATAGCTCCTATTACAACAGATAGCTAGGCATTCGTAGCTCTGATACCATATTAGAATGGACTAAGCTACTAGCGGAAGTTTTAGTAGTCTTAGAACCTCCTCCTAAAGCCTAGGAATCTTAGGAGCCCACTTGGGCATGAACCATGCTAGAACCAAAGTGGTTTCCAAGAAATGAAGTTCCAACAAGAGAGTCCCTAACCTATAGGGTTTGGGAGGTGGTCCACTCTATAGAGTGTACACCACAAGTTCTTCCAACCCAACCAATGTATTCTACACTACTATAGTATAGATGTATCACTATATATGTTTATTGGAGCAACCCGAATTAACCTTAATTCCAACAGACCCCCTCACGCTGACTGAAGCCTCGTGCAACGTAACGCGCCTTGAAGGCAGGCGGTGAACCCGAAGGCCGCTTCACCCTGAAAATCCACATGCCATCGACTATGTTCGCCCCAGGTGGGGGAACTGCGTTGACATAGGTGCTTGTGGACTTCCAGGAAGCCATCTCTGCGTCCAGTACTGTGTATAAAGTGAATATGGCATGATGTCATATTTAAATTTACACTATCTTCTGAATGTTTTTTACGTGCTCTTTTTCTTTTCAGGTTCCATCGATTGCTGTCAAGTTGCAAGTCAAGTCATTTGAACCAAAGAACAGTGGCATGCACAAGTTGGTCACTTGCATTCATGACTCATCCACAAATAGTGCACTGATTGCACTAGGAACCACTGCAATGCACATCAACGCATGCTTCGAGAGTTATGTGAATGCGAACAAAGAGTGTTCGCATGTTCCTATGTATTTGAGCAATGTGTACTTGAAGTCCGCTGTCTTCAAGTCGACGATGCAATCCAACATTGTTATTCTTGACGAGCAATTTGCAAAAAATATCTCAAATGTTCCTCCATTCGACGCAGTCATTAACGTAGGGCGTCGTCGAACTGTAAGTAAACGTGATTACGATGATTACATTGCATCGTGTTTACATGGTTCTTACAATATCATGTCATTTTGCGTCCAAAATGACTCATGTCGACGTACTCGTTCACACCACAAAGAAGGAGAGGATTGCCTCATTTGATGCGGAAATTCAAGGCCAACGACACAACATCCGAACAATGTGTATCGTCTAGTGTGGGGATGTAATTTGTGGCATGCCTATCTACACATCAGTGGTCACAGATTTGGATCAGTGTGTCAAGAACGAATCTGCTTCAATTTCGAGGAACGACAACATCACCATCACTCTTGCCATGACCGAGAGTGGTAAGCTCTTACTTTAGATATTGTTCTATTACGATATTATTTGACTATGTACAACAATAAGTCAGTGGCATGATCTTGTGTCCACATGTTTTTGCCTTTTTTTCCTTTTAGGGACCTTCAAGAGCCGATCGCACACCATGGTATTGGAGCCGAGACTTATGGCGAAGATGATTCCAAATTTTCAGATTGCCGATTTTCTTTCTTCCTCTGACGACGAGCGAAGGCGCTTGTTGCATGCATTGCGTGGTTTTTGGCGTGTGAAGGTGAGTTTTTAACTCAAATATGATTCAACTTTCATACACTCAAACTTGATTAGCATGTTAGACACCGTTCAACACATTGATGTTTTTCCACCAAGATTAACATGACATTGGAGTTTTTTCCCTCATTTCTTTTATTTTCTTTTCTTTTTTGTCTGTGGCAGATACACTTCGGCTATGAGGGATTGCGAATAATTAAGAGCATTGTGGACATCATGATGTGTCCACATCTCTTTGCTTTTTTTCTTTTTAGGAACCTTCAAGAGCCGATCGCACAATATGGTATTGGAGCCGAGACTCATGGCGAAGATGATTCCAAATTTTTAGATTGCCGATATTCTTTCTTCCTCTGACGACGAGCGAAGGCGCTTGTTGCATGCATTGCGTGGTGTTTGGCGTGTGATGGTGAGTTTTTATCTCAAACATGATTCAACTTTCATAACGTTCAACACATTGATGGTTTTCCACCAAATGTAGCAGAAGTTTGGCAACCATTTTCCAGACAACAAGGCAAAGTCCTAGAAATGCAGTTTATCAACTGTTTGCTATTTTCCTTTGCATGTGTGTTAGGCAAAATATATATGCGTGCTTGTGCTTGGTTGTAATCAATCCTTTGGTGAATGAAAATTGCTCTATCGACGTATTGACGCGAGGAGCTTTTCTGCACACGCATCTATCGTTCGTCAACGCTGCGCAATTGAGCTTGGGAATGCTCTTAGTGCACACGCCCGATTTCACACTTGGGAAAATCCCTCTACAAACACGGACCTTTGGTTAGGGGCTGGCTTTGCCAGGCACCCGAGGACCCTTGGAGGTGACCCCGTGGGGACTACCTATAGTGTGTTAAAGGTGTGCTTAAGAGTTTCTAGATCCCAATAGTGGCCAACAAGAACTATACTTTTAGTTTATATCATTCACGCATTTGATATTCATTTACTTTTCCTCTTCCTTTGTTTCTATTGCATGCTATTTTATTTTCTTCCTTTTGTCCCTCCCTCATTTCATCCTGGTATTACTCATTACTACAATTTACATTTGTTGAAGTTGAAGCGCAAGTTAAAAGAACTCACATCTTTGTATGCTTACTGATTATGTTGTTCACGCGTTTTTATTTCAGGTTTTGCAAGAAGTCAGCTTCTACTGCAATGTTTCTTTAGTCATACGCGACCTTAACACAATTTTTTTTTTTTTTTTTTTTTTTGCTATGACTTCTTATAGTACTGTTTCTTCATTTGGTGCTTATGATTGCGTTAGTAATGCATGTCTGCGCGTCACAAAGAGATGACTTGCTGTTCATCATCACACAAGGTTCAGTGGTCCACCACTATGACAGTGAAGCCATTTTGAGCTGGACTTGATCGGCGTAGTCATTTCTTGAGATTCGCATATTGTATTGCTTCATGTTATTTCTCAACATCTATACTACTCGATTCCCCCCCCATGCTAGGCTGGGGAAACGGTAGTATACATTTCCAGCAAACGTTACACAAACTGCTAAATCCAAAAACCATGAAATATGTGTTGACAGCTATTGGGATCTAGAAGGCTCTGTACACCAATAAATGCACACTTAATAATCTCCACGAGGTCACCTCCAAGGGTCATTGGGTGCCTGGTAAACCAGCCCCTATCCGAGGGTCCGTGTTTGTAGAGAGGACTACCATGTATAACGTCAATCGAGAGCACTAGAGTAGTAGCGTTCACGATTAATTGGCTCGTGTGCAGAAATGGCTCTTCACGTCAATACGTTGATAGAGCAAGCTAGCTCGCCAAAAAGGACTGAGAAAATATATCCACTAGAAAGGATTGATTACAATCAAGTACAAGCAAGCACTTTATATTTTGTCGAACACACAAGCAAAGGAAAGTAGCAAGGCAGTTGTAAAACTGAATTTTGGATCTTCGCCATGCTGTACTTGAAATCGGTTGCTCAATTTCTTGGGCAATTGGATTGAAGCGCCACTTGAAAATAAGCGTCTTGAAATTGCACTTGTAACAGTTGCCCCTGCTGACTCAAATTTGTGCACTCATGAGGCTCACATATGACTCCAATGTAGCTCTAATGAGTTCATGCGAGCTCACATTTATAAAACGGTTTTTACCGTTGAGAAAACGGGATAACCGTTTTGTACTTGCGTCAAAATCATTCCGCAAAGGGGTCTGACTTTCGTGCGCAATTTCTTGTTCCGTGAGTCAACTTCGAAAAACAGTTTTTCAACTGTAACTTCCGAGCACCCTTCGGAATCTCGCAGCACCCACTCGAAACATACGCGCACCCCTCAGGTGCGCAATCATGCACGACCAGACAAACTGGTCTTGCTGTACAGCGCCAAAACGTGCGCTGTACTGCGCGTGGGCAGGGCGATCATTCGCCCTGTCCTGTTGCGATCGTGGGACCTGCCACGTTCGCAACAGTGCGCGAGCACACGCTCGAGCCCAGAGGGCCCACACGCAAAATCAGGACCACACGCGCAGTCAAGATTTTGCGTGCTTGACCAGCGCGAAAGTCAACAGCACCCTCCTTGACCAGTCAAAGTATCGAGCCCCACAGAAACGCCCCACGGTACACAACTCTCTCGCATGAGCCACGCATGAAACGTCACAAACAAATGAGACTTTCATGGGAAGCTCATTTCAGCCTCATTGGAGCTTCATGAGAGCTTTCATGAGAGCTTCATTTGAGCTCGTCATGGGAGCCTCATTCGAGCGCTTTATGAGAGCTTCATTTGAGCGCTTCATGAGAGCTTCATTTGAGCGCATCATGTGAGCCTCATT